TGTTTATTTCTCTTTGTCTGTCCAAGAGAAAATTTTGTATTTTTGGTTTTTTGTTGCAAGTTTCTTGTATTCCAAGAAGAATATGTTTTCTTTTCTTTGGTACAAGAACTAGTGCCCTTGTTGAGCCTTTTTCTAGATTGTTTATAAACTTGTATTGAGTAGTTATCATGTATATTATTTTTCACTCTTTCCCTTACGAATTTGTTCAGGAAAGAGTTTATGTCGATCTTTACAAAAAATGATTTATATATAAATAAGTTGATTTAAAATGTTCTGAATTTGCTTTATCAGAAAATGTTAAAGGATAATTTTCCTAGTAAAGATTCTATATACAGTCAACTCTTTCTATAATAAACTAAAGATTCTGAAAGAAAAAAAGTTTATTATAGAGAAATTACTATATTTTCTTAAGAATCAATTCTATTTTTTATACCAAACTATTATGAAATTTCAAAATTTTTAAGTTCATAATATCTAGAGTTTATTATAAAAAAGTTTATTATATCTAAAGTTGACTGTATTATACCCATCATTGATTTAATTGGCTGAGCCTCATAAGACTATAATTATCTATATTGAAATTTAAATAAATTAGTTATCAGATATCAAAAAATGACAGGTTATCAAATATTACTTATGGAACCAACAAATTTTAATCATTTATAGCAAATTATTAGTTGTGGTATTGTCACTAGTAAAAATTATATCTATTTTTAGTTTTTGAAAAACTATTGTGGTTCTTTAAACTTTGGGTCTTGTTAAATATGAGTGCCACCAAGGGAAAACCTAACTTTAGATTTTTAATTACTGTATCACACTGCCTTTAATACTCAGATCTTATTAAAAAAAGTGTATTATATATGACAATATACCCATAGATACTTAATCAAAAGTGGATACACAAGATGGTGGGGTTGTTGATATACTATGTAGATCAAATATATGTATAGGTCCATAGTAAAAATAATTAGTGAAATTTTTTGTGCAACAATCACAATGATCTATAGTAAAATGTTATAAATTTTAACAAAAATTATTAATATTATTAAAAATTCTTAAAATTAATAAAAAAAACGCTCTTTTAGTTTAAAATACAGGTTCTATCACAAATTTTATTTATCTGATTGGTAGATCTTATTCATAAATATCATCAAAATCACAGAATCCGCCCATATGATACAGTAACATTCGAGGAGCCGGAATTAGGGCAGGTAAAGCAATAGTAAAAATATATGACTCAGAATTCGTAAAAATGTTTAGAATACATGATCTTACAGGAAAAATAAGTTGGGATTGAAGTCCACGATGATAGCCAACATTTTTACATTTAATTAGTGATTTAACGATTGTATAATTTTTATTATATATTCACAATTAAGTAGCAGTCTTCAATGATATATTATTACAATTTGTTGAAGGAAACAACATCAACGCTTTGAACGTGATCTTCAAATCCAGTAATTTGTTCTTCTAGGTCATCTATATAATAAACAGAAATAAGTATACATATTTGCATAAACTTTGAAATTTAATATAAAATTCTCACCAATGCCAACTTTATCATCCTCAACGACACATGAAATTTGTAACTTTTTGATACCATAGCCAATTGGAATCAATTTAGAAGCTCCCCACACGAGCCCATCCAAAGTAACACCCCTCACAAGCTTTTCCATTTCAACCAGATCAGTAGTATCTTCCCAAGGTTTGACATCTAAGCAAACCATACTTTTAGCGATAACCTTTGGCTTAGATTCCTTTTTTTTGCGATACGCTTCTAGACGTTCAGCCTTTAATCGTTCTGCTTCCTCATCCGGTTCTTCATCATCAGAAGCAAATAGGTCAACATCATCATCACCATCATCACCCTTTTGTTTTCCCTCACCAGGCAGTGAGGTGAATTCGTCAGAATAAGAAGCAATATGATTGTACCATCGTGCGGCATGAGGGAACTTCACATGGTCAGGAACCTTACTGGCAAGTTCTTTGAACACAGAAACATCAGCTTGAGTTGGTTCATAGCTATGAATCAAATACATATAAATTATGTTGTTATTTGATTCTGATCAAGTAAGTTTTACAGTCTAAAATGTAAATCAGAGATTTGAAATGTAGGATTTCATTCATGAACGGAAATTATCCGCTCAGAAACACGGACCAGTTATCATCAGAAAATAGGATAACCTTGCGCAAGTAATAAAAAGAAAGGCAATCATACACTACCCTTCAATATATGAATGTTCTTCTAAAAATGTGTTGAGGTCTGCGAGACCTTTGTCGCTGTTAAGTTGAGTGAAAATCTACAACGCAAAGAATATATAATTAGCTTTTTTCGTATCACAATAAGCCTTTGATGGATACTCACCATTTCGTTTACGTCAGGAAAGCTTTAACGATGTTAAAATTTGATTTACCACAACGATGATGAAAATTCATTTTTATTGGCTAAAAAAAAAACAGGCACATGATTATTGTCAAAATAATGGTCCGTCGCACAAAATTTTGGCCAATAGAATTAACTGCGCATAATGTAGTTCGCATATATTTAATATATAATCGTAATTAAAATATATAGCGCATAAAATAGTTGGCATAATAAAGTCATTAGTCGACTAGTCGATTATTAGTCAACTAATCGACTAAATTTTTTTAAAATCAGTCGATTAGTCGACTAATTGATTAATCGACTAGTCGACGCGTATACTTATTTCTGCAAGTGATACAAATCCAAAAAAAGGAAATTTTTATATGTAGATCTTAAGATCAGGTTCAAAATTTTGCCTAACCTTTTACACTAATAAAAAAATTCTCTGCTTTTTACTGTATATCAAACTCTAACTCTAATGCTAGTCAAAATTTTTTTTTTTTAAACTAGCCTCTTTGGGGCTAAGGTTTTTATTCAAGTTATTTGGATGGAGAGGCTCACAATAAAACCCTTTATTACATTAGAGACTACATCTAGCTACATGTATACTGTTATATTAGCAAATTTTATTAGTCAAATTTATTTAGATTATCCTTTAATCCGTATTTCAGGCAAATTTGCCTGGAAAATTTGACTTAACTAATAAATTTTATTGTAGCACCAAACCACGTTAAGTAAACCCCCTAATATATGATTTTTCTAAACCGGAAGAACCTGTATTGTCATATAAAAATTAAGTTTCCAGGCAAATTTGCCTGGAATATGGTACAAATCATTTTTAGAAATTGGCATATCATCGTGATCGACAACATAATAATTTTACAATAAAGAATTTGTAACACCGTGCATTAAATAAAAGCTCCTGCATGATTGTTACGATTGTTCTAAATTGGGAAAAAATGTACTGTCATTTGAAAATAGAGTTTCTAGGCAAATTTGTCTGGAATATGATATAATATGATTTTTTTAAGCTGACAAGTCGTCATGATCGGCAAACTTAAATTAGAATTTTCATATAAACATATATACAATCATGGACCAAGAATGTGGTTTAGTAACTACCAATGAACTACCCAATGGACAATATCTATTGACATTTTTTTTAGAAAATATCAAAGTCTATTGACAACCCAGCATATAGTATCTTTGCATTTTTCGTCTTACATGCTTATTTAACTCTTTTGTTCTTTGTATTTTCATGAATGATTGTTTCTTTATTTGGAGTGTCAAATAGTTGCTTTGAAAAAATGAAATATAAATAACTGGAGAAATCGTAGCCTTACAAATGGCCGCACCTTAGTCTTTAGTGTAGTGGATGACTTTTACATTATTGTTTTTTTTTTTTTTTTTTGAATAATACATCACTCTAATTTCTCAATATACAATCGCAACTTGATGTTTTCTGACAATTTCCCTACATGTTTTAAAAAAAGAACATATTCATTCTTAAAATTCATTGAAACGGCACACTTTTTTTAAAAAAAAAAGTTATTACGATATTACAATACAATTGCGGCACCATTTTTCCTTTTTTTTTTTTAAAAAAAAAAAAAACTTCGTTGCAGTATTTTTTTTTTTTTTTAAAAAAAAAAAACTGTTACTCATGTCTCTTGAAGATTCTGATCTAAGTTATGTAGTTACTTTTGAACATGACTATCATGGTGAGCTAATAATCGACTGCAAACTTGTAAAAGTTACTGATGATCAAATAAATGAAGAACTTGAACACGCAGAAAATTCGGAAGGTGTTTCAAATAGTAGGGGAAGGGGAAGAGGAAGAGGTAGATGAAAAAGTAGAGGAAGAGGTAGAGGAGGAGGAAGGGAAAAAAGTAAAGGAAAAGCCAATGATGAACAAGATAGTCATTTAAATTCAGAAACTTCAATGCTAGAATTACCTACTTTTAACACTATTCAAAATCATCATCCACTTCACAAAGGATATATAATGCTTCCTCACAAATATCAACTAGGAGTCGTATCTCCACTTGCACTTTTTCAATTATTTTTTACTAATGAGCAACTACATTTAATGGTCGAAACACCAATATATATGAGCAAATAAAGGGTAGAGATGGTGGCCGTATTTGGAATCCGTTAACCTTAAGCGAGTTAAAGACTTGGCTTGGACTGATTATTTACATGGAGGTCCACCAGATTAATGCGATGGAAGACTTATGGAATAAGGACGAAAAAAAAGCTCATCACGAAATTCAAAGGTTTATGTCCCTATTTAGGTTCAAACAAATTAAAAGGTTTTTTCATATTTCAACCCCAAGTCAACCCCATACCCATTGGTACTCTAAAGTAGAGCCGTTCGCCTCGCATATCCAAAATATGATTAAGAAATATTACGTCCCTAGTTCTAATATATCTCTTGACGAAATGATTGTACGTTTTTCTGGTCGTAGTGTTCACACTGTAAGGGTAAAAAACAAACCGACTCCAGAAGGGTACAAGATTATTTCACTTTGTGATTACGGTTATACTTGGGCATTTGTATTTACATCACGAATTGAAAAAAATAACGTGATCAAAACTGTTCCTGGCCTGAGTAATATTGGAAGTTTAGTTGCACATTTAACGTGCATGCTTTCTAATAATAAAATGTATTATATATATATGGATAATTATTTTTTCAGTATACTGCTTTTTAAGTACTTGTGTGAGAATGGTATTGGTGCTTGTGGCACAGTTCATACTAATTCAGCAGTATTTCTTAAAGAATTAAAAATTGCTAAAGAGATTTTTTTAGATTGGAATACACTTCTGGGAAAGGTAGTAAATGACGTTTTAGCTATTTTGTGAATAGATAATAGTTCAGTGACCATGTTGACTACTGTTTATGAAATTTCTGATGAATTTTGAAAAGTTACTCGTAATCGGCGATGACTCTGTGAAACAAGTTCCAATGCAAACACGGTGCGTCGAGTTTTTGGAAATGAGTATCAAAAGGAGTTAGAAATTCCTCGAATAATAGACGATTACAACCATAATATGGGTGGAGTAGATATTGCTGATCAGCTTCGTGGATATTATAATTGTCAATTGAGAGTAAGATGCACATGGCTCCCTTTATTTTTTGGATCTTAGATACTGTTCTAGTAAATTGTGTGCTTCTTTATCGTAAAGTGGCTGACTCGCATATTTTAAGTAAGGATTTTAGAATTAATTTGGCTTGGGATTTGATCAAAGATGCTTTAGACAACAAAAAAAAAAAAGAACCCCCAAATCTTCAAGCTCTGTCAAAAGGAAAACGAATCGTTGTTAATAAAACTTTTGAACTGCCTTTAACCTGCTTATTGGATGGTGACCATTTAGTAGAATGGAAGGAAAAAAGAGAAGCTTGTGTCTATTGTCATTATTTGGCTCAACGTGGAGAAAAAAGCATTAATTATGATAATCCTCCACAAAGCCAACTATGGTGTATCAAATATAAAGTTCCTCTATGCACTTCTAAGGCAAGACCGAATTGCTTTAGAGATTTTCACTCTAAGAATAATGATCTTTAAGGTTCGTATACATTATTCCATTTGAGGTGGCTAGGACTTAATGAATTTTGATTTAAAAACCCTCTCTTAATTTTTAATATTATTACTCGCATATTTAATAATTTTTTTTAGAAAAAAAAAAAAAAAAAAAGATTTATTAGTAACCACAGCCTATTTACTGCATTATTTTTGTTTCTGTGTGAGTTCAAACTATGCAACATTTCCTCACATTGTTAACGTATGATTCATTATGTGGCATTATCCAAAAAAAAAAAAAAAAAATTCATGGTCTTTTAATAAGGTAAATATAAAGTTAAAATTAGCATTTCGAAGTTAAAAGCTGATTAAAAATTTAAAAATTCTGCACTTTTAGAAACTCGAAGGTTCATTGCACAAACTCATCTAATATTAAGTACATATCAATATTTCTGTGAAATCATGAAACTGAATATCAACTGTGAACAAATTAAATCGTAAATATTAAGGTTGAATTTTTAAATTTAAAATCGATTTTTTTTGTATCGGTATTATTCAAAAGTCAGTATACAAGACAAAATAAAACTGAAACATTTAGAATCGGTGAATATGTTCATTAATCATATGCATACATATTACAAATAAAAATTTAAGTGCCTTTTTATGCTGCGTTTAAGTTTTGTAAATATTTTAACTCTAAATTTAAAATAAATATAAGTTCAAAAATCAGTACGCAAGACAAAATAAAATTGAAACGTTTAGAATCGACGAATATGTTCATTAATCATATGCATATACATACTACAAATAAAAACTTAAGTTATATAAATATATTTTGTTTCTTTTTTTAGGAAGAATATCACAATATTATCCCAATTCATTGTTGCCTGCATGTTTTCAATTTAATTATCAAAGATATTGCTAGCTTTTCTGATGTTATAACTTAGTTAACTTTTTTAATTCATCACATATATAGCATTGAGAATTACAAAATTAGCAAAAAAAGCATAGTATTAGTTATTTCTTGGATACATTTTGCAAAACTAGATGGTATTCACTAGCTAAGGTTTGTATAGGTGTATCTATCTATGAGCAAGGTTTTCAACATTGCCTCTTATTAAGTAAAACTGCACAGCCTAAATATTCTAAA